AACTAAGACAGAAATTGTGAACCATGATTGCATTTTGCCTTCTTTTATTTTTATTCAAGGAGTGCATTATTGTACACTCCTAATTCCTGAATCAGTGATGGATGCAGGTAAAAGGGCAGAGAAATCCCATGCATATAAATCTTTTGTCCCTCCTTAACTTCTGATAGGTAAAAATGGATTTCTCTCTTCAAAAAACATCAAGATGCATGCAGTCTACTTGAAATAGCCCATACCCACATTATTGCATGCTCATAAATCCCCTGCCAATCCATAATATTTTCCACCATGTAGCAACATTGCTTGGCTGCTGATTGCTGAATCAAAAGTAGTGCTTCTGCTTTTCTATCATTTACGGGGTGGGATACGGTCACTTTCTCTAAGAGGGTTGTGGGATTCAAAATCAAGGGCATTTTGCGTATGAAAAAAAATGAATTATTAATTAATTTTTTTATATTAACTACAGATTGAAAATTAAAAACCCATATTAAATAAACGCTTTTTAAAATTTAAATCATAAAATAAATACAACTCTCTCTCTCTTCCTTTTCTAGCAGCCACTCCACTTCGACCGGCTGACTTTTCGACTGACAGACTTTTTCCGGCAAGATTCTTGAATCAGACTCGCTCCGGCCAACTGTAAAAAATTATCACTCCGTCAGTGCGCTAGTGGTACGCTACCACTACCAGGTACCAAATGATACCACTACCAGAGAAAAATTACTACCACTAGAAAAAAACAGATATGAAAATCCAAAAATCACAGATATGAAAAACGAAGGGAGGAGAAGAAGAGTATAGTGGCAGAGGGACTCACACCGCAAGAGGCAAGGAAAGGAGGCACAACAGCGGCGATAGATAATGATTGGGTGTTGTAATATTTTTTCCTTTTAAAAATATCATTCTTTTAATCCTAACCATCAATTTAAAAAAAAAATAGACAGAAGAGAGAGTGTATCCATTTGGCTAGGAAGTGAGTTGTGACAGTATCACATCCCATCATTTACCGTCGGAACATGTACAATCATGACGACACAAACACATTATAATCGCTTATATTTTCTCCTGTTGAGTATATATCATACTCAATTCATTTGCAATTCAAGCAACCGAGAGACATAAACACACGTACGATGCTTACTTCTCCTTTTACAATCTTCAACAAGATAGTCGAATTCATATAATAACATTTTTTTTTGTTATAATGAAGAGCACTTTAAGCAAGAATTATGCAGTGGTTTGTTTTTCTAGTGGTTAGATTACCCGTCGAAACGTGTACATAATCGGCACCAACACAGTTTCGATACATATCATAATCATTCATTTGCAATTCAAAGTACATAATTGAAAGACATAAACACGGTGCTTACATCTCTGTCTACCCTGTTCAACAAGATAAAACAATTCATACAACATTCCATTTTTATCGTCATCGTAGATAGGAATTTCAACAAAGATTGTGTATGGACGAGAAGGGAAAAAACAGAGTAAGAGACACGACGAAGCAGACGAAGCAAATAAAAGCACAAGGGAGCAAATCAGCCATTTCCATGCCGAGAACTACTTGTGCATCAAATCCGACATATGTCCCCACGAAACAGACAATTAGTGTTCACTTTTCATCCTCAAGAGTGAGTGAAAGGCTTTCCCACAATGAGCAAAAATTGGTACTTTCTTTTCTACGTGAGATTCGTCACTTCACAATGAGTTTTGTCTATGAAAATCTTTGCTAGTAAATCATGTACAATATCGTGCCAGAAAAAATTAGTTGTCTATGAAGATCGTCACTTTTGGTTGCTGTTTTAGTTTGCTCTCGATTCAACTCTCGTAGTGATTCAATTTATTAGATGAATTGATAAGTTTCGCATGATATTATACCACAGAGGTCAGGGAGCTTTATTACTTGAATCTCGGTAGCTCTATTGTTTGTACCATTTTAACATATACATCTTTGTAATATGAATTTTCATCAACTAGGCCGTCTGCAATGTTGTTTTTGTTCGTTTCTAGTTCTTATGTTAATTTTGTTTGTTCAAATTCATTGCTATTAGAGTCAATAATCAAAACACGTTCCTGACAAAATGACATATCATGTAATGCGCGTCTATAAAAATATTGTTGGTGGCTGACATAACATGTAACGTATGATGGAAATTCAACTTTCTCTTTCTGAATTTGACATATTTGCATTGTTTTACGATGTGAAATTTCAAGACATCCACCTCCACACTTGGGATCAAAATCACTTTCTTACTTTCCATATTAGATTACTTCAATACTTGCTAGTAAAATCTCTTCCTCTTCTTTCCGTCTACTTGAATCAAACCCTAAAAGTTGAGACGTTGTGTACATGTACAAAGTTTAAATGAAAGAAGACCTAGGAAGGGATTATTACACCTAAATATATATAAACAAACATGCACAGTACTCTGCTGTCATCATAATGGCACCAGCCACACATTTATGCCAATTCGTTCTTTAGACAGCACATTGATCAATCTTGCCCCCTCAGCCAAGTTACCATAAAAAAAAGCATCAATAGCCATAATTGCTACCTATACTGTTGAGAAAACCAGTTTTAAAAATATTATAGCTCATGTTCATTGCTCAATTAGGCAAGCCTATCAAAAGTATTTCACTTGCTCACTCATAGATTCTACTAATTAACAAAGGTAATCACTCTGCAACTTCAGCTGCAGGACAATTCTATATGTTGGTCCAATGATAATGTGGGAGATTAAGTTTAAATATTGAAGATGAACTATGATTAAGAAATACTTAGCTAAAAAATGGGTTTCACATGTTTCGGCTATTTAGAGACAAGTGACCTGCTTTTGTTTATTATGTGAGTTCGTATACGAATTTGGAAAATTTTGAACAAAAGATTTGATAAAGATGAAATGACGATGATGTTAGTATTTTCATCTGTCTTCAGAGCATGATCGGACGATGAACCAAAAAAGTTAATTGTTTATGGTTCAATGGTTATTGGTTACTCATTATAAGATCGTTAGTTAATCATTGATAGAATCATCTATGCGCTATCATATAAAAGATATCTATAAAACACCAATTTCGGCACTTCATTTGTCACTAACGATAAAAAGGTTCATATCTACATCCTCCTCCATCACCTGTGGTTCTAACTAATCATTCAAACCGCCATTATTCTTGAATTGACGGTTAAAATGGCCCAACCATAGATCCGATTATAGTATTTAGGATGACGATTAGAAATTCCCAGATAAATTCACTAAAAATTAAAACTAAGTTATTGTCAATATGTAATTAATTCGTATAAATCTAACAAAACGTCGAAACGAAACGAATTCGTTTCTTTCAGGAATTTGCAGTCAATGCTGAACAGTGAACTCACGAGTATGGGACAGGTTACGGTGATTACTACAAAGTAGTAATCACCGTGGTTACTAAGGGTAAATTGGGTATGGAAAAATAAATTATATTAATTAATTTTTTAATAAATTACATTTAAGGTAGTTACAAAAATCTATTAATTAAAATTCTCTCTTCCTCTCACTTCCGTAATCTCCATCCAAATTTTCTTTCCATATTTTTCTCAATCTTTCTGCAAAAAAAAAAAAAAAAACGAAATCAGTATCAATCCATTAGACAAACACTACCACTTTGAAAAATATCAATACCATTACAGAAATAAATCTATACCATTACACGAAAACTACCATTGCATAAATAAATTTATACCATTACACGAAAACTACCATTCAAGAAATAAAAACACTACCATTTCACAAAACATCAATCCACATCAAACTACCAATCCAAATGAAGACTACCAATCCAAATCAAACTACCAGATTCACATGTATGGAGAAAACTACCAACGCATGAAAGGAAACTACCATTCAAAAAAACTAAAAAACTACCATTCGAACAGAACAATACCAATCACATCAAAAAGCACGGTTTCACATGTATGCAGAAAACTACCAATGCATGAAAGAAAACAGCAAAAAAGAATACCATTCCAACATAACACTACAATTCAAAACAGCAAAAAAAACTACCATTCCAAACATAACACTACCATTCCAGAACCGGCGGCAGCCGGAGCTATGAATGTCGTCTGCGGAGAAGATGGAGTTTCAAGCTTGAAGCTGGGTTTTGGCCTTTGGGTGGAAGTCTGCGGAGAAGAGAAAGGAAGCAGATTTGATGGCGTGGCGGATTAGGGTGGAAGCTGGGTTTTGGCCTTTGGGTGGAAGTTTGCGGATTAGGGAGAAGAGAAAGGAAGCAGATTTGATGGCGTGGCGGATTAGGGTGGAAGCTGGGTTTTGGCCTTTGGGTGGAAGTCTGCGGAGTAGGGTTTCTCGATTCTCGAATGAAGGATGCGGTGGCGGATTTGATGGCGTCGCAGAGTCTATACCAAGTTGATCGGAGAGGGGAAGGGGTGGAGGCGATGGCGGATTTGATGGCGTCGGAGAGGCGGAGGTTGATCGATAGCGGGAGCGATAGGGAGAGGAGGGAGGAGACGACGGCTAGGTATTAGGGTTTGAGTAAAATATATACAGTAATCAGGTGTGGTATGTTTTTCATTTCCTAAATTACCCTTAGGGCTTGTTTACTTTCATTTCTGTTTCCTGTTTTTGAGAAAACAGATGTTGAAAACAGGTGAAAACAACATTTTGTCGTTTCCAAAAACAGCAGGAAGTTGCCACTTTCTGTTTTCATAGTTGGAAACGAATAGAAAACAGAATGAAAAGTAAACAAGTTTTCTCATTTCGGTTGCCAAATTTATCACATGAAAACAGAAAACAGGAAACGAAAATGGAAGTGAACAGGGCCTTAGCTAATCTTAATCATTAATTTAAAATTATAATAAAATAAAGATAATGAATGGTATAGATGTTGGTAGCCAACGTGATTACTCAAAATTGAGTAACCACCCTAACCTATCCCCACGAGTATGGCAAAAAGAACAACAAAACTTCCTGTTTCTCCGTTTTTGTTCCAGTATTAGGGTTTAAGTCTTCAACAACAAAATCCACAAAAAGTTCGGACCAATTTATCAGCTGTGTAGCCGTGGAATCAATGGCAATGGGAATTTGGTCGGCTTCCTCACTTGTCTCCGCCTTGATTTTAAGGTCCATCTCAAGAAACCCCAGATCACTCTGTTCCCAAGCTGAACCCCCCACCAAGCCCGTCTTAGACTCCGATTCTCCTCCACAGAATCTCTACTCAAGCTCAGATGTGCCCAATGAAACTTCCCCAGAACCCCATTTGCCCGAAATCGCAATTCCAGGATGTAAAGATAGTGTCTCGACGCAAGCTGACGTGATAAGCAGCCTTCTCAGTCGTAGAAACGACCCCGATTCAGCTCTGCAATACTTCAAGTGGGCGGAGAGGAGACGCGGGCTTGTAAGAAGCATCGATTCGATGTGCATTCTGCTTCACATTCTGACAAAAGAGCCCCGGACTCGTCGTCAGGCACAGTATCTGCTCAATCAGTTCGCTTCTGGTGATTCAGGTCCGACTCCCTGTACTGTAGTTGATCATTTGGTGCAGTGTCCGGAAAGTTTCAGTCTTGAACGAGATTCCCTGGTTTTCGATTACTTGTTGAATAGTTATGTTAGAGCTGGAAGGCTGGATGGAGCCGTTGATTGTCTTAATTCAATGGTCGGTCATGGTGTTTTCCCCTCAGTGCCGTTTGTGAACATAGTCTTGAGTGAATTGGTTAAAAGTGGCATGATTCGTGAGGCACACAATGCCTACTATAAAATGGTTGCTAATGGCATGGAAGGGGACGGTGTGACGGTTAAAGTTATGATGCGTGGCTGCTTGAAGGAAGGTAGAGATGTGGAAGCTATGGAGTTTTTTGTGAAGGCGAAAGAGAAGGGGATTGGGCTTGATGCTGTGGCATACAGCATTTGCATTCAGGCTGTTTGCAGGAAGCCTGATGTGAAGTTGGCGTGCGAGTTGTTGAGTGAGATGAAAACAAGGATGGGTTCCATCTGAGGGTACTTTTACCACAGTCATTGCGGCTTGCATGAAGCTTGGGAATATGGCTGAAGCTTTGAGAATTAAAGATGAGATGGTGAGTTGTGGGAGGTCGGTGAATGTGGTGGTGTTTACGAGTTTAATTAAAGGTTATTGTAAGCTAGGCCAATATGATAGTGCCTTGGATCTCTTCTATCGGATGGGCGAGTCAGAGGTTGCGCCTAACAGGGTGACATACTCAATATTGATTGATTGGTCTTGTAAGAGTGGGAATGTGAGTAAAGCTTGCGAGCTCTATGGACAGATGAAGAAGAAAGGCATCCGACCTAGTGTGTTCACTTTCAACTCTTTGCTTCAAGGACTCTTGAAGAAATGTGCTCTCGAAGAGGCGAACAAGTTGTTCGATGAGGCAATTGAAGATGACATTGCTGATGTCAGCACCTATAACTGCTTACTGTCATTCTTTTGCAGTGAGGGAAAAGTAGATGAAGCACAACATTTGTGGGAGAAGATGTTAAGCAAAGGTGTCAAACCTACAATTGTTTCATACAACAACGTGATTCTTAGATACTGTAGAGCAGATGACTTGGATAAGGCATGTAGTGCATTGTCCCAACTCCACTCGGATTTCAAACCTGATGTGATCACTTACACAATTTTGATAGATGGCTACTTTAAAAAAGGTGACCCTGAAAGTGCTTTCAAAATGTTCGACCAGATGTTGATTGAGAACATTCTCCCCTCAGATTACACATACAATTGTCTAATTACTGGGATGTGCAAAGCAAGTCGAACATATGAAGCACAAGTGAGTTTAAGGAAGTTTGCTGAAGCAAGTCGAACATTCTCCTCTCAGATGTTGATTGAGAACATTCTCCCCTCAGATTACACATACAATTGTCTAATTACTGGGATGTGCAAAGCAAGTCGAACATATGAAGCACAAGTGAGTTTAAGGAAGTTTGCTGAAGAAAAAGGCTTTGCTCCTTCAGCTTTAACTTATAACACCATTATGGATGGATTTGTGAAGGAGGGCGATGTCAATTTTGCATTGGCAGTTTACAGAGAGATGCGTGAAGGCGGTATTTATCCAAATGTCGTCACTTATTCTACATTGATTAATGGCTTATGCAAAAGCAATAACTTCGATCTTGCTTTAAAGATGTGGCATGATGTTAAAAGCAAAGGACTTTGCTTGGATGTTACTTTGTACAGCACTCTGATAGATGGATTTTGCAAGAAAGGGGACATGGAGAGTGCATGGCAATTCTTCTCTGAACTCCTTGAGGCTGGGCTATCTCCGAATACTGTTGTCTACAATAGCATGATAAGTGGCTTCAGGAATCTTGATAACCTGGAGGCAGCACTCAAGTTGTATAAGAGAATGCAGGCTGACGGAGTTCCTTGTGATCTACAAACTTACACGACACTGGTTGATGGTTTCCTGAAGGCGGGAGAACTAGTCTCTGCTACTGATCTTTACACTGAGATGCTTGCCAAAGGCTTTGTTCCTGACATAGTAACATATGGTGTCCTAATAAATGGGCTTTGTAACAAAGGACAGATGGATAATGCACAAAAGAAACTGGCAGAAATGGATAGGAAGGGCATAACCCCGAATGTTCTCATTTACAACACTCTAATTGCTGGGCACTTTCGAGGGGGAAACTTGCAGGAGGCATTTAGACTGCATAATGAGATGCTTGACAGAGGTCTCGTTCCAGATGATACCACTTATGATATGCTCGTTAGCGGGAAAGTGAAGGGACAACGTTCAACATCTACTGCTGGGTAAGAAGTTTGATGTGGTCACTTAGAGCTCATTTATGTTTCTTCTTCCAAATTTCTGCTGTTGCGTCCGATATGATGCCTTTGCCTTATAGGGATATCCTATGGTGTTTACTGAAGATTGGACTAGTAGTCTTATGATGTGCTTGTTCCCTTCTTTTCACTTTCCTAACTTCTGTCACTGAATAAATGCTTTCAGGGCCAGCACAGCTGTGAAGATGTGAACCCCCTCTGATCATATTTACCACCAAGGAGCAGAAGTTGTTTGTATTCATCCCGCAGTCAAATCTTGTGCCAACCATAAGGAAGTAGTTTTTTGGTTCGCAGATGGTAGCTCGCTCATTTAATTGCATTCTCGATTTGGCTGAAGTTGTTTATATTCCTTGAAGTGTTGATGGCTTTGTCCTGAAAAAATACCCAAAGCTACTACTCTTATAGTCCCTGATCCTTCCTTGCCATTTGTAGGTACCGATGAAAAGTCGGGCACATATGCCTCTCTTGATACTAATACCATTGAAACTAGGAGAAGGGAAAACACGGTCAGCAAGTCTTCTGCTTTGTTAACCTTTGTTTGTTATAGTGTGCCAATGGATCTCTTCCTTCTTCTCCTTCATGATAGGAAGAACTGTGCAGTGAAAAAGGAGATCTTACATAAATCTATTGCTTTGTCTCTTCCAGGGACCAGAATTCAGATTATCTTTGACTGATAGAAGTAATTCATGCTTCTCCTAACTGCTCTGAAGGAGAAGACTGAGTGTGCGTAAAGAAGACGGTGAATCTCTCTGGCAGAATGAATAGTAGTCGTCCACCTTCTAGCTACGTTAGAATGCCAAGTCTAGTAGTCAACTTAACGCTTCAGAGTCCCTCTGTACTTGTATATTATCATGAAATAGACCGATGAATGCTTAATATGTACATATATGGACACCAAGGTTTCGTCTATGTAAGCCTCTGTCTATATATTTTTTATGATCTTTCTGCCATCATGATTTGTGCTCAAAAGAGAGAAACGACTGAAGCAACAGCTTTTATAGTTACATTTGCTGCAGAACATTGTTTGGAACACATTTTTTACCACTCACTCTACACTACTTTGCTCAAGAGTTCACAAAGAAGTATCATGCAACTTTTCACTATGGCTGCAAAGGATATAGAGGAAAAGTGATGCATGACGGAACAAGTAATCTATCACAAGAACTCAAGAAGTAATCTATTGAAACTAACAATCTTGGGAATCGGGATACACTAATGTTCAGAACATTCACAAAGTCTTCAGCAAATATTAATAGGCATTGACTCCATAAAGTAAGTTCACTGTTTCCAACTTTCCATACACGAACCATCAAAATGATCAAGAAGATCCAGCCACTGTCTCATCATGAACATCTTCTACTGCTGGCTCATGATTGATAGGCATAGAATCTTCTACTTCTGAAGGCAAGGTAGCCAGCATAGTTCTTGGGCCGGATGATGAAGCACAACCGCCTAAATTCCCATTTCTCTGGCTATGAAGTCTGAGGTTGTTCCTAACAAAGAAAAGATCCTCGGCCTTCTGTACTCCCAGTCTGTTGGCGACGTCTTGATACGAAGACCCATTAGTCTGCCAGATCTCATCACACATTCCAACACTAGAGACTTGGCTGAGAACCCTTATGGCTAGGGTTTGCAGGTCAGGTGTCTCAGAACCAAAGTTCTCCCACCAAGCAACAGGGTCCATCTTATCCCTGCAATCAACAGCATCTTCCTCACCTAGAGACCCCTCTTGGCGCCAGTAAGAGCTCAGCTGCTCCCTCAGGATCCGTCTTCCATTGCTGTCAGTCTGGTATTTTTCTAAAACAGTCTTCCATCCCCGCATTACATGTTTGTCCTTACCTTGACCTTTACCAAAAAATCTCGGATCGAGTATGTAACCTGCAGCATGAAGAGGAGAGAATAGTGTATCCCATCTGGTGTCAATGAGCCCTTCCAGCTGATTCAGTAAGCCCTGATCACTAACTTTATTATCCTTCCTCAGTGCTTCCACTGCCTGAATTCTCCAATCACAAACAGCACCAGGAGGGGATTTGTCCATATCAACTGAAGTGATTCCTCTCACAAACGGCTCGTATAGCTGTAACAGCAGCTGAACTTTGTTCCAGAAACTGTCCCCTGATATGGAACACTCAATAGTAGAAACATCTTTGCCAAAACTAAGTTTCCATTGCTTCCATTCCTCACTGGCAATAACCTCTAGTGATGGTTCTCTAAGCTCAGAAATCTTCTTTAGAAAGCAGTATGAAGGTGCAAGCTTAGTGGAGATAGGATCAGAATCATCTTTGAGATTCAAAAGAGAAAGAGGTTGGGAATTACCATGATAAACACCCATGCCTTCCTCAATAGCCTTGCCATGTGAAATGATTGGTTTAACCCATTCCAGTTCAGATACTTCCTCCATGAACGTTTCCATGGACTGTCTAGTGCAGGGAGACCAAATAATACTTGGAAACTTGGAAGAGATGGATGATTCATATGATTTACTGACCCCATCAAGGTGTGAGATTACCTGTACAATGTTTGCAGGAACGACTTCCTCAATCACTTCAGTAAGTGCATCAATTAACGGACTGGTCCCGTCACTACTACCATCCACATCAGCTGATTTCAAGAACAGAATCCCCCTTGGACTTGAGACAAACAAGCTTGCACGAGAGCTACCTGACCCACCATCTGAAGGAGCAGCTACACATACTATCGAACACCCAGTATGTGGCCAGGAATCCCTAAGTAGAGATACTGTTTTTTCGATCCTGCATTTCTCTCTACTTAAGGAGTCGGTCAACTCATCCACAGAGGGCGCCTCGTACTCAAACCCAAAAGCACCAATCGCTTTGACCATATCTAGAAAGTAAGGGGACTCGATAAGATCCACATTCACACCATCTGCAAAGAAGAATCTGGTCACCATGTCGTCCACATCTTTCTTGGAGATGTTCTTCCAGGCGATAGCTAACTGAGAAGTCTTGGTACGCTTTCCAGGTTTCCCACCACTGGTGGCATGCTTCTTCCTCTTTCGATCAAGCCGCTCTTCCTCTAAGATCTGGAATCCTTCTCTCAAAGAGCTGTCTATGGCTGGACAACTTTTCACTCCTACTCCAGAGAAACCAAGCAGGTGGGCTCTCACACGAGAGTAAGAACCATTGTACCGCAGATTGCAGTGGTTACACTTCCACCTTTTAGTCCCACTTCCCTTATCAAATCCACCAAAGACACTAACATGATCCCATCCCCACTTATCAGATTCTGATGGCATTGCTCAAAACCCAGGTAGATGCAGCTGTAAATCAACACCAAAGATATTAATAAAGAGCAAGATATTTTCATGAAATATAATATCAAATTGGCAAATTCCTGTCACTCGGCAGAGGTTACTACCATCAGGATCGTTATCTACATTCTCCAGGAAAACAATTGACAGTCAAATTCCATCGGAAACAGTTCTCACAGTAAATTAATTTATCACAATAACATCCTGAGCTCGAAGCTCAGCTAATAAACACACTACATTGCTTGAACCATAAAAAAGGAGCATTATCCATATGGGTTGATCTCCTTGTACTAGATGAACCAAAATCCAGTCCAGAAACATTCCTCTGCTCAAAAGTTTTCAACTTTCGATCCCGAACTAAACAAATCGGAAGCAAAAGCTCCCTGATTAATGAAGGCTAAACTAATAGAATGAAGAAAATTCAAGTGGATCTCAGTGCCCAAAAAAGTTTGGATCTTCACGAGTAAAAGTAAACACAGACAGCAGGGAAGTAAAGAGAATTGGGGGATTAGGGTTCTTTTTACCGAATGGCCGTTGAATCTTTTTGGCGGGGTATGAATTTCACCGGGGTTCCGGCGGCGAACCGTTGCGGATCCGCGTTTCTTCCTTTCCAGAGAGTGAAAAAAAACTCTTGGCCGGGGATCAGATCATCTAATAGGGTTCCCGTTTCTTGGAGTTGCTTCCGAAGTTCCGTTTCTCCTTTGATTCAATGCTCGCCGGTTTCTTTTCTATTCCCGAATCGCAACCGTCGAAAGTTTGAATCACAGCTGGGCTGGTGAGTGTTAAATAGAACGGGCTTATTATTGATACACAATAATTGGCCCAAGTTTACAAGCCCAATGAGTAGCACAATAATGGACCTATCGGCTTTCGCCAATTATGTATGAAAATTACAACTGGTTAAACGCATTAAAAACAGAAGTCTGATACAGTCAAATGTTTACAAACTGTCTTGGGCTGGGTATAGCCGTATAGGCCCGGATTTCTTGAACATCGGGCTTTGTAAAACACAGGCCCAACCTAAAGTCTTGATCAATCCAAAGTCCAAATTCTCCAAGAGATTGATGGTTTATTAAGGTCTCATTTGGGATAAGTTTGTTGTTCATAGGTCGTTCGTAACAGGGTGGCTCATTTAGTGGTCCGTAAGACTCTATTCCTGTCGCCTCATTTGTTGCAGAGGTTCGACTACGTTTTTTGGGTTACTAGCCAATAGGCTAGGTGTATTCAGACTCTTTTGGATCGGTGTTTTATCTCTCTAATCAAGAGATCTAATGGCAAAAAAAAAAATTCAAAGTCCAAATGGTGTAGATTCCACAACCCCCCAAGAGGAGCATCATTTTCATTTGTTTCCATGTCTATAGTCATACCACTCTGTACCATAGCCCATATTGTTAAATGTTAAATTCTAGAATACATATTACAAATAAACTAAAACAAAATCAAAAGTAATGGAAGAGAACCCGTTGGTATAGATACCTACAAGTGTATGAATTAGAAATTCATGTAGTTGAGTCGTATATTAATGGGTTGTAATGGTTTGTATTAATTAATCACGAAAATACAGGAAAAGAGCACATGCTATCAGATTTCTGATGTGTCTCATTGTTCTCTACCTGTTTTATTATGATTTGCATAAATATATACTTGTGTTTCTCTTCTTTTGACCTTTCTAACATATTTCATTTCAAATAAATTTTAAGACTCATCTTTCAACTATTTAGACTTAGTTAATCCTCATACTATATCTCTAAATCATTTATGAAACGTTTTTCATTTGACTTCTCATAAAATAGTTAAATATCGACGTTATTTTCCTCAAATCACATATAAGAATGCATCAACTGCCCAACCTTGTACCTGCCAGGTATTACGTGACCTTAACTGCGCTTAGTGCGGGGTGAATATAGTATTAAAGTAGTCGCCGCTATTACCATCACTATCGGTGTATATGGCTGTAAGAATATATTGATACCTGATTTCACAATTTTATTAAATTTATAGATACACATTGATTGTAAGCATATATTGATACCCGCTTTCATGATCTAATTAAATTTATAGATATTTATGGAAGTGATTGTAAGCATATATCGATACCTTCTTTCTCTAACGAGGAATGAGTTGCTATTTAGTGTTGACGATGAACTCAAAAATCAAACCAAAATTGTCCATTGTCATAAAAGATTAGGAAATCTTCCTCTACATTAAAATTTGGGGCAAAACTTGTCTATTTGAATAATGTTGATGCTATATTAGGGTATTAACCCAAATTACAGCGGGTAACACGCATATTTTATATGAACAGAAGTCTAATGACTAGGGGTGTCCATTCGGGTTCGGTTTTTCGGGTTTACCCGAAACCGACCCGATTATATACATTTTCGGTTTTCAGGTTCGGGTCCGTTTCGGGTTTTGGATTTTTCGGTTTCGGGTTCGGTTTTGCTTATCGGTTTTTCGGGTTCCGACTAAAAATCTCCAATGAATAGAACTCAGCCTGTATTTTTAGGCGTTCGGGTTTTCGGGTTTCGGTTTTGCTTTAACCGAACCCGATAAGGAATTTTCGGGTGACTGGAACCCGCAAGTCCTTATCGGGTTCGAGTTCGGTTTTAGTGATTTTCGGTTTCGGATTTTTGGATTTTTTCGGGTTTTGGTTTGGGTAACCGAACCCGACCCAAACTGACACCCTACTAATGACCAATTAAGGTCTAATGAACAGGCCCAACCCATAATTCTTGCTAATCCAAAGGTGGGAGTACATTTAGATCTTATTCGCCCAGCTCATTTTGTCTGCCTAAATTAAATTCCACTGCCAACATTCGTTACTGACCTCACAAGTCACAAGTTCACCTTAGTCGTTATGCCAAAAATATTCATATAATTATGGATATTCACCCCAATTTTATTCAATTGGTAGAGTGACCGAGTTGGTATGATTTTCTCATTATTTGACTCCAATATGCCTTATGGTACACGCATATAAAAGATTTGTTTTAATATATAATGAATTAGTGTTATTTTTTTTTATATTTCCCTTTGTATTGGTAGTTTGTATTTATAATTTTTACATTTCCTGTAATGTTGATATACTTGTGATTACTAACACAATAGTTGAGAAGATAAATGAAAATATTATCCGTAGACATTCATGAAAACTGGAAACTCAATCATGTATGAATATAATTTTAATTTACTATCAGATCAGAATCTTGCATGGAGTACAAGTATGGATAAAACTCAAACTATTTAGAATATGATTATAGATAGTCACAATCCGCTTCTGATCTAACGCGTTGCCATTCCTAACCCCTTCCACTCTTTACCATATTCCGTATTGTTAAACTAGCAAATTAAATCCTAGAATTTATTACACAAATAAACTAAATCAAAATAAAAACAAATGGAAGAGAACCCCTCAGTAGTCAGTATCGAACTATCGATCGATATGCAACAAGAGATATAAATCAGAAAACTCATACAATCGAGCTGTGAATTAATTGGTTTTAATGGCGTGCATTAAATAAATAGAACCACAAATCATAAGCAGGTGCAACTACTGCCCTAGATATTTGATATTAGTATTCAAGGCTTTTTATATAAAGCCTTTGCATGTCTTCGATTCGTGTGGAAAAGAAACCACCAAAACAAGCCTATATATAGAGAGAGAGTCCATTTATTCAGTAAAGCATCTCCACCAAACCAGAAGGCAGAAGAAGTGTGAAGAGAGAGAGAGAGAGAGAGATGGCCGTGACGGTGGAAACCGACCCAAAGCTTCAACAAGACGGCGGAGCAGCCGCCGCCGCCGACTCATCAGATCCTCCGCAGAAGGCAGAGCTTGACGCCGGAGCGCTTTTCGTTCTCGAATCCAAAGGTATGCCAATGCCAGGCCGCCACAAAACACTAGTCAAAGTAGTCAACCATGCATGAAAATTGAAATCAAAACTTACTTTACTTTAATTTGGAGCTTAACTAGCTAGAGGACTTTTTGCCGATCGATCGAACACAAAATAAACGGCTGTATGTATGCATGTACGGGGGTGACATCATAGTCCGATCAGCCCCTTCACGATCGATCTCAGCCGTTGAATCAATGTGTACATAATTTTCTTCCCTATCGATCCAACGGCTGTGAGAGGGAGCTGTTTGCACGGTAACAAAAATCCAAAACGAACACTCTTTCTCGATCTGTAGTCAGTCGATCAAGTTTCCAATCCAAGCATACGTTTACATTTGTGGGGTTTTTTTTTTTTTTTTTGCGAAAAGACCGAAAAGGGTACTTGACCAGTGGATATTTACACTTATGCGAACTGTATTTGTAGGGTCGTGGGTGCATTGCGGGTATCACTTGACGACTTCCATCGTGGCGCCGCCGCTGCTGAGCCTGCCGTTCGCGCTCACACTGCTGGGCTGGGCCGGCGGGATCGTGAGCCTGGTGGTGGCAGCGCTGGTCACTTTCTACTCCTACAACTTGCTGTCCTTAGTCCTCGAGCACCAGGCCGCAATGGGCCGCCGCCAGCTCCGCTTCAGAGACATGGCCAACCAAATCCTCGGTCAGTAATTCTAACTACTAGCCAGCCGAGGCTATTTTAGTCTTTTCGGTGGCCGTTTACTTTGACCATCCATTTCCCCGTTCGTTGAGTCAACTTGGGCATATACAGGTGTTGAACACGTGTAACGACGAAGTTGCTTTGCTTACGGTTGTGTCGTTTTCCACCACCAAAAGCTGTCGTTTTTTTGTCATCAGTGTACTGTGTACAGATTTTGACCCGCTGTTACAATCCAAAGTCCAAACCAATCAATTTAAGAAATTTCTTTTTTCTTCTGGTCTTCTACCGATTTTGCTATAGCGCTCATAATAACCATCTGTGAGAACCATCTCAGGAACCTTAGAGACCGTTGGATTGAGCGTTGGTGCTTTGCTTTTTTATTTTATTTTTATATGAATGTGTGCTCAATTTTATTCACCAAAATAGTGGAGGGTCCATAAACATTACTGTCCGATCCAATCATCCCTAGAGTTTGTAAAATGTTTTTCACATATGGGTAATGAGCGCATCATAGTTTGGGTTTGTTATAGATGATGCTATTGCTCTCTTCAACTCTCAAAAGTACGCAAATTAAATGTAAATTTCGTAACAAATTTGGAAAGTAGAGTAGTTGATAAGAGTTTAGCCTCCTTCCCACAATAGGTTAAATCCTTTGAATGCTTATAAAAAGAAGTTCAACTTCTTCGATGCCATATTTTTAGTCCCTCTTTTAAATTTCTGACTTTACCACTGATGAATCAGTCTTTTTCTCATTAAAATATATGTTTGTGGTTGGTTGATTGATTGTTCGCAATCTCCGTACTCTATTAAAACACAGCTAATGAGTCATCCCCTTTGGACTTCCACCATATGTATATCTCGTCCATGCATTGCATTGCACGTTATAGTGCCGTTCGCCACCCAAATCCCAAAGATTAATGTCTACCCGTCCTACCTACTACGCTCTCCCTTCTTTATTTGACTAGCTAGTGTCATTTTCCCCATGACTTAATGCATGCCTTGTTAAAATGTTGACAACCCATTTGTAGAACTGCCTAGAGAGACGTATGAAGACGTTGCTTTTCTGTATAGAGGCCATCCAATCATTGAATGAACGTCGTAACATTTTATTTACGCAATTGTCATTGTGCTCATTCAACGATCGTGAAACACGTTTTCATGGACCATAGCTGGATTGGAGAAGGACCCATACCGCACATTCAGAACAGAATTTCTTTGCGATGAACTCAAAATTAATAGTAAACTATAAAATAATTTCCCCAATTCTCATTGGGCTAAATGTTTTCGGTGTTGAATTGCGCATGGACCCAATTCTCCAAACGTTTCTGTTCTCTTTATCCTTGCAGGTCCAAGATGGGGCCGTTACTATGTCGGCCCAATTCAGTTCATGGTCTGCTATGGCGCGGTTGTTGCCTGTACTCTTCTTGGAGGTCAATGCATGAAGGTCAGTCCTCCAATTAGTGGAACTTATTATTATACCATTATTATTAGGAAACGAATTTTGTAAAAGATTCGATATTTGGATTGAATATATTTTAATTTGTTTTCGATCCTATAAATTATCTTAAATATGAAAAACATGTAGACCAAAATTACATTTTGGTCTAAGTTAAACCAAATGTTGGCCACCTTAATTATTATATCATGAATCGTTAGTTCGTCTGATCGATCGAGTTGAGTCAAATATGGTACTTAATCCGTAATTTGATTCTTTGTAATCAGACCAACACACTTAGTTTACTCATTTCTTAACTTCTCTTGCAGGCAATTTACGTGTTGTCGAAGCCGGACGGCACGCTAAAGCTCTACGTATTCGTAACAATCTTCGGTTGCTTCATGCTGATACTCGCACAAATCCCGTCGTTCCACTCCCTCCGCCACATCAACTTGGTCTCCTTGCTCCTCTGCCTCGCCTACAGCGCCTGCGCCACCGCCGCTTCCGTCCACATCGGAACCTCCTCCTCTTCCTCCTCGCAGCCGAAGGAATATTCCCTTCCGGGAGACAGCACGCAGGACAGGCTCTTCGGAATCTTCAACGCCATCGCCATCATCGGCACCACCTACGGCAACGGCATCATCCCGGAGATCCAGGCAACCGTGGCGGCGCCCGTCAAGGGCAAGATGTTCAAGGGGCTCTGCATATGCTACGCAGTCATTTTGGCGACGTTCTTCAGCGTCGGTGTTTCGGGCTATTGGGCTTTCGGTAACCGGGCCGATGGGCTCGTGCTCAGCAACTTCGTGGACAATGGCAGGCCTCTTGTCCCCAAATGGTTTGTCCTGATGACCAACGTTTTCACCATTCTTCAGCTATCCGCCGTGGCCGTCGTAAGTGCTTTAATTAACTTGCGAAAATATCCCTAACAAACTTTGAGTTGACGTGGGGTCGTTAGATGGGATAATATCTACGAAAATATGAGGTCCAAAACTTGAATAATCGTACTAAATCCTATGTGCCTAAATTTTTTTATTGTCCAATTAATCTCTAACTACTCGAGTTTGAACGTTGGAACGTGCAGGTATACTTGCAGCCAACAAATGAGGTGCTGGAAGGAACCTTCGGCGACCCGACGAGCAAGCAGTTCTCGGTGCGAAACGTCGTCCCGAGGGTGATGTCGAGGTCTCTGTCGGTCGTCGTTGCAACTGTCGTAGCTGCGATGCTACCGTTTTTCGGTGACATCAACGCGCTGATTGGAGCGTTCGGTTTCATCCCTCTGGACTTCATCCTGCCGGTTGTTTTCTATAACCTGACGTTTAAGCCTTCCAAAAGGAGCCTTGTTTTCTGGCTCAACTCTACCATTGCCGTCGTTTTCTCGGCGGTTGGAGCCATTGCCGCTGTTGCCGCCGTCAGGCAGATGAGCCTCGATGCCAAGACTTATCGGTTGTTTGCTAATGTATGAGGACAGTTTGTTAAAGCATATTCGTACACAGAAAACGAAAAAAATGAAACGCGAAATCGTCAAATCTTGAGATGTACGTACCATTACAAAGTATTATATGGTGCAAGTCTGCATTTGTTAGCGTTATATATATATATATATATAGTGGCGTATTCGGTGCACTCACTTTGTTAGGTGCATTCAGTGGGACTAGATACTATAACAACACTCCTTTTGTTGTTATTATAACAACACTAGTCTCCAACCAATAGGAAACTAGGGTTGTGATGACTTTTTATTAGATGAGTTGACCTAGTGTAAAATCAAAGCAGGGGTATAATTGTCATTATGAAAAATTTATTTAAATAATAAAAAAATAAAAAAGTAAAAAATAAAAAATAAAAAATTATTTTTTATTTTCGGCCCAAAATTTTGGTTGCCGGAATTCGGCCACCGGTCGCCGGAAACTGGTCGTCGATCACCGGAATATGCTTTTTGTCGCCGGAAAATGTTATTTGTCGCCGGAATATGCTTACCGGCGTCGGAATCTAGTCATCGGGGCCGGAATATGCCTATCGGCGTCGGAATCTGCTCACTGACGGTCATCGGAGTTCGGTCAACGAACTTTGTTGACCGGTCAACGAACTTCGTTGACCGGTCAACGACCACCGGATGTTATGGTCTGCATTGTGACATTTATGGTTTGGTTTCTCATATTTTTGTATGCCTTTTGTGGTTTGCTTTATCGTGTTTGTCGTTTGCATTAAGAAGTTTCTGGTTTGCTTTATCGTGTTTGTGGTTTGCATTGAGAAGTTTCTGGTTTGCTTTCAAAAAATTTGTGGTTTGCTTTGCATGGTTTCTGGTTTGTTTTAATAGATTTTTGGTCTGCATTAGAACGTTTCTGGTTTGTTTTTGTGGTTTGCTTTATCGTGGTTGTGGTTTGCATTATGAGGTTTCTGGTGTGTTTTTTAAAATTCTGTGGTTTGCTTTGCGGGGTTTCTGGTTTGTTTTAGTAGATTTTTGATCTGCATTAGGACGTTTCTGGTTTGTTTTTGTGGTTTGCTTTATCGTGTTTGTGGTTTGCATTATGAGGTTTCTGGTGTGTTTTTTTAAATTCTGTGGTTTGCTTTGTGTGGTTTCTGGTATGTTTTAGGGGATTTGTTGTTTGCATTAGAAAATTTCTGGTGTGCTTTTTGTGATTCTTTTTATCCGTTTGTGGCCTGCCTATGAAATATTTGTGGTTTGCTTTGTGAGGTTACTGTTATGTTTTATGAGACTTGTGTTTTGCATTAGTAGGTTTCTAGTGGGTTTTAGAAATATTTTTAGTATACTTTATAGTGTTTCTGGTATGTTTCAGAAGTATTGTGGTTTGCATTAGGAGATGTTTGGTGTCCTTTCGAGTGAACTTGAGAATACTGAAACTCATAAGAAAATGGTGTCGTTTCTGGTATCAAGATTTTCAACCTGATCTACTGGAGTAGATGATGGCGCTGGACTTGATTTCTGCCCAAGTACCATCACTATGTACCAAGTAATGAGACAGGCACACCAATAATATTTGGTGAATTAGCAAACTCCAGCCGTAGAACTCAGACGCCATATCTAGATAACAGATTCCAAAACAAAAGAGAATGTTTTTTTGGTAATGAATCGTGTTGTATTTCATAAACAAGCAGTACAGAGATTCAAATGGCGATAAGCTTTATATAAATGTCAATTCTCTGACTATACCCTTATACTCCAGCCCCTATAAACCAGTAAAAACTATCAAACACCACTAATAAAGCCTCTAGTTGATAAACAAAAGAGAAAACCAGAAGCTAAGAAGCCCAGAATCTTTGTAACCCTTGATATGCTGGGACTGCTACATGAACAGCTTTAATAAGATTCACCATTTGCAACTCGGAACCTGCAAACACTCTGCTACATCTTTCCCAATTGTTTACACCTAAAATATTTTTGGCCTAAATTCAATGCCGTAATAATGAGCTCGGCATTTAATTCGATATCGCATGGCCAAAACGATGTCGTTTGGAGTCGGGCAATACCGCGGAGAATTTAAGCGAGACCGCGAGAGGCTTGGCGGTACCGCGGTATTTGAAACGACATTGGTTGCAGACAATGTGTGAGTCATGCGCAGGACATGTGTTGCTGTTGGACAAGGAATGTTTTTATTTTATTTTTCCTTGTCGGAGGAGGAGAGTAACAGCACCGTTTGGAGTCAAGCAATGCTGCGAAGAGATAAAACGGTGCTGCGGGCCTCAAAGCTCAACGGCATCGCGAGACTGGGAAACGGTGTCGTTTGGCTAAAAACGGCACCGCGACAAGCGACATCGCGGATGAGTTAAAACGGTACCGCAAGGAAGCTCAATGATACCGCGGCACTGGAAACGGTTCCGCATGGAGATAAGCGGTATCGCGGAGGATCAAAACGATACCGCGTATTTAAAAACGATGCCGCGAGAGCCTTGTAAGCGGTACCGGTTAATTAAACCAAAATTCGCCAATCCAATGCGAGCGCCGATTGGCGGTGGTTCCATGGAATATTTTCGGCTATATCAGCGGTGTCGTTTGAATTAAAAACGGTACCGCGAGTAAGCCCAGCGGTACCGTTGTATTAGTAAACGACAGTGTTTAAATATTTAAACAATGTCGCGGAAAGAAAAGCAAACGGAGCTGTTTGGAGAGGAAACGACACCGCGGAGCTTGAAAACGATATCGCGCGAAGAACCAGCAATACCGAGGTGGTGGATAAAGCCGCGAGCTAAACAACATTGCGGTGGAGAGAGATGTCGCGGTGGCGAATCTAGCGGCGTTGCTAGTGCGGCAATGCCGCGAAGTTCAATGATGCCGCAAGGCCAAAGCAACATCGTGGAGTTCAACGAAGGCCATCGACTTTGTGTGGTCAACGACGCCGAGAGATCAACAATCTAGCGGCGAGCACGCGGTGACGAGGGTGAAACAACAATGTTGTTTTAATCGATGGCGGTATCGGGATTCGAACCATGGTACAAAGTTGATGTGTGTGCACGTGACTTTTACGCAAAGCAGAAAGAGGAGATCAAGGCAGTTGAGACACGTGGGATTTCAGGACGGAGCAGTTGAGGAAGCAGTTCTACAGAGCGTGAAGACTACGAAGTCGGTTTTAGATAAAATCAACCCTGCAAGGAGAGAGAAGAGACAACCAAAAATCAACACAGAAACACATCTGTCACACTTTACCTTTTCTCTGTAACTCCTTCGCGGAGCTCTCCTTCCAGGAAGGATCTCCATAGTTGTAGTCTTAGTCGTAGTCGCGGAGCTCTCCACAGGAATCTCCATAGGAGTAGTGGTAGCGTAGATTCCTCAAAAACTCAAACACCCTCGTTCGAACATAGTTTGGAGAGGTGCGAACCGTAGTAACGGTCGTTCTTGGTTAGAAGTCAGAGGTGCATCGATCAAATCAACACCGCGCGGCGGTGGATATTTGACGGTAACGTTGATTTCATCATTTAGAGGTGCATCGATCAAATCAACGGCGCCGACATTCGGCGGCGGATATTTGACGGTCGTCTCGATTTCAGCAATCAGTGGTGCATTCGATCAGACGGCACCGCAAGCGTTTCCACCGCGAAACATCAAATCAACATCGCCGGAAACGAATTCGGCACCGGCGGTGGCATTTGGTTTTTCCGAGGAAACACCAATAGATATGGCTTATCAATCTTTCAACATTGTTGACATTAGACAATATGCTCATGAAGCTCCTCATGGTCAAAGTGCATGTGTGCCAACTTATTAACAATAATTCTCCTTGTCCTCTCCTATAGAAGCAAGGCTCGCTTCTCCTCTGCCGATCTCTCCAGCTTCCCCTTGGTCATCACCACCACAATCTTCATCTTCCTCCTCAAATCCACCACCACCACCAAAAACCTCCCTCCCGGCCCTCCCTCCATCCCAATCTTCGGCAACTGGCTTCACCTCGGCAACGACATCAACCACCGACGACGCATCGGGACCACAACATCACCTTCTCCTCGCTCTTCCAGATCTCCGGGCTAATCGTCTGAGCCTCCGCTCACACCAATACAACCTGCCGACGCGCGTATCGGGACTGGGGCGGCGGTGGAGAGGGGCTTACAGCCGTTGATTCTCGACGACTTGCGGTAGTAGAAGCAAGGACTTACCGAGGTTGCTATGGCAGC